TGCCTAGACACTTCTAGCTAGGGAAGGGGTTCTCGCAGCCCTAGGCCTGGCCTACCATTTTGACAAAAGCATGGTTTTATAATTTCTGACTTGAATCTGATCTATTGCTGGGAAGGAAACGGTTGTCCAGGGTGAGGCAATGGGAAAGAGGATGAAAAGATGACCTCCTGTCATCTAAGTACAGTAGTACTTTGCCTCCCCTTTGCTGTTGCCAAGTTCCTGGAGTTGTTAGTTCCACTGGCAAGTGCTTAGATTGCTTTTAATTTGTTTCTTTTTTGATAAAGCCATATTAAGAACCCAAGTCCACTCCTCTGCCCTTGCATTCATTTTATCCTTGTACATTTTTGAAAGCTGTTACAATGCAGAACAGCAGCGATGCCACAGGACTGAATTACAGAAATCATTTGAAGGTAGTTTTAGGTCCTACAGTTTGAAGCCTGTAGATCTGTTAAGGTTTTGCTTTTGTTTTTATATAACTTGAAAAGACAGTACAACAAAGGGGCTTTTCCAGTCTTGTCTGTTTTGATACCCTCTTCCCATCCTTATCGGAATACAAAGTTATCTTTATCTTAAAAGTGGTGGCGAGGCCTTAGGTTCCCCAGGTGACTATTACACTATCATCGTTCTGGTGTTGCGTTTTGATCTTCACTGTACTGGTATGGTTACTGGGGAACAAGTGTGGGGGACTGGTATGGATTTACCTGTAACGACTGGTTGGGGGATTTTGTCAAACTTCTCAAATAAAATTCCCTTGGGGAAAAACAACCCACCTCAGTTGTCTGTGTGAATCTTGTCCTCTGTGCATGTTCCTACCGACTGCTGTTTCCTGCAAGCTGACCTGTCACAGGAAGCAGCAAATACACAGACCCCTTGCAAGCCCTTGGGTTTCTCTAGTGAAAGTTCATCTACAAAGAATTTGAGAATTCCGGCCTCTGGAAAGGTATCGGCTGCATGGGCTTCTCCGCAGAGTGGGACCAGCACAGTAATGTAATACAGGTTACCATTTGCTGCCTTTCTTCTTTCCCGCTTCCTAATTATATCCCCCTATGTGGAGGAATTTTGAGTCTGATAGTGAAACAGGGCTGGTGCTCTAGAGCACAAGATTCAGTTTTTCACTGTCGGCTCACAAGTAAAATTTAGTTCATTAAGACAAATGGAATTGCTTTCAGTTTTGTGCTTTAGAGGAAATTTTATATTGTTGCAAAGAAGAGTTGGTCCTATGTGAGTGACAGATGCTTACTCAAGAGTGGTTAGGTATTTACCAAACTGCCGTCAGATCTCTGTTGAGCCTGCGAGCCTTTTGTCATGAGGTAGCCAAGTGAGATATGCCATGTAACAGTAACATAAGTGCTAGATAACTAGTTAGTATTACCGGGGAGAATTTCAAGAGGGGAAATTCCCAGATCTTTGGATAAGGATTAGCCTCTGCAAGTTCTTGCCTAGATGAATATTTAAGTATGTGAAATCGTACCATTGTTCTCATGCGGTAGGTTGGCGGTGGATCTGGGCTGTTTCAGAGTACTGCAAATGCACAGCTGGTGTCTTCGTTCCATTTTACTTCTGGGAAATGGGCTAAAGTTGAGCAGTTGCAGATACTTGGGTCTGAGCCCATCTTTGTGTGAGATAGATGCATCGCTGGTAAATCTGTAATTGCCTGTAGCAAACTGCATCAGACTTTTCCAGCCTCTTCCACCCACTTGTCAATGTGACTAACGATTTAATTACCACACTACTTAACCAGCGCGTGAGCATTCCTAAGTAAGGTATATCTTCGCGTACTCCCCCTCCTGCTATGCCAGTGTCAGCTGCACCCTGTTCAAAGTGCCTGCCGCAGCTGCTGTGTGCGGGCACGCGTAAGGGGATGAGCATTTTACACACTCTGTTGCTCATTTCTTACAAGCTGCTCAGGTATGTGAGAAATAACCCAAGTGTACAACACCTGCTTTGTCTCCTAACTGGCAGATCAGGGACTTTTGACTCAAAACTAGTTTGGCAACTGGTTGGCGAGACCATTAGGGGATTCCTGCCTGTGTGCTTCAAGAGGTCCTACAAGCAGAGGTTTGGGAAAGTAGTGTGGTGTCACTTCACCCCTGCCAGTTCATGTGATGTATTTCTGTCTCCCTCATACCTTTAGTTGTGTTGCTCTACTGTACTTGTCTTTCAGATGCCTGAGATGGCCTTGCCCTTCATGAGCAAAGACTTTGGGCAATGAACTTCCCGCATGTTCAAGGTGGCTTGCTGGGAAGGAGAGAGCACAAACCTGAAATGGATACATCTACCACAGGAGAGAAAAAAAGTTGGGTCTGGATAAGACTGCAGGAGTTCAGTGTTGGTAGTTTTGTCTGCTGCCCCTTCTCCACCTAAAAAAATTGTCAGGCTGTGCTTGTTCTGTTGTTCCTCCCCCAAACCACAGCTGGTGGTGGTGTGGTGGCTCTGGCAGGCCTGCCTTTCTCTGAGGAAGGTGGAAGGAGCAGAGGATTTAGAAACACTGCCTGTTGGCATTTCGTGGACCTTTTTGTAAACCAAAACAGGTGAGCCCAAGCTTTTGCTGCAGCACTAAAATACTTGTATCTGCTCAGCAGTGTTTGTAGGAAGCCTGTTTTGCTTTGCACTGGAAGTCTGTTGCACTGGCAGGAGTTGGGAGTTGCTCTGCTTCAGCTGGAGCTGAAGTAACTTAAACTTTCTGCAAAATGGCAGTAATTGATGCCTGATAGCTCCTTCTGTTGCCAGAGGTCTGTGTGGTTTATCACCTTAAACTCAACACATTAGTTTGCTTGCTGACACAGTCTGCCAGAGGACCTGTGGTCTCCAGGTGTCCATTTCAGTGATCTTTGCTATGAGGATCATTTATTAGGCTCATGTTCAGAGAAAGCTGCTGTGTCCTGAAGGACCCATCTGACTTATTGTACATTTTATTGCAAAAACTGAAATACATGTTGAATAACTTCCTTTGGGGGCATGTTACTCAAAAAAGGCAACGACAGAACCATGCTCACATTGCTCTGTCTCACTGTGGTTTCCTGTCACTTAATTTCCTTTCATAGCTGATATTCCTGAGGTATCTTTTCCCTGAGCTTTTAAATTGGTTGCATTATGTGATGTTTGCATAAGCTGCATGAGGAGGTTCTGTTAGAATTGTAATGAGATGAACTTGTTTTTTCTTGGTTATATGGGGGGGATGCTGTTCCTACAGCCACCACACAGCCGGGGCAGGCAGAAGGGAGGACATGCTTGTGTTCTCCAGCTATACCCCGTTGCAGCTCTGGTCTGATCTGCTGCAGAGCTTTACCTTCTAGGGTTTTCTCACCCATACTAGCTGCTTATTTTTTTTATTTCCCCCTGGATATACTTTGTTTGGATAATCTTCCCCCAGATGTAAGATATTTGCTATACATTTGTGACTGGAATCTCATGGTGTCATCTTCATTATAATTAACCATGTAGATGCCCTGTCATTTCTTCCTTCTCAGTGTCGGCTTCTCTTTCCTTGTGTTAGTAACATAATCAATGTACTATCTTGACTCGGAAAACCATGAATGAGATCTTTGAACCAAGGCCGATACTTGCTATGATTTGGTTTAAATTACAGCGTTCCTATCCTTATACAAATTCATTGTTCAGTAATGATTTTGCAAGAGGCAGAATGGCCCATTGCCTCTATGTGGTCTGATTTCTTTAAATGTTTGAGTAAAAAATTCAGTGTAAAGTCAGGTGTATAGTCTTCAGTCATATTCCAATACACCTGAGTGGGCAGCGGCTGTTACTTCCCCTAGGGGCATCTTGGTGGGAAAATTACTTGCCCTGCTTTTTAAAGCATAGTAAAGTCAATGCTGTGGCACAGCTAAACCTGATTGTGGCTACTACTGTGATCATTTTATGGAAGAATTTGTATGATACTGCAGATAATAACAGGCAAGATAACTCTACTTTTCAAGTCAGAAAAATTAAGATTTACTTTTTCAATTAGTCTTCTGATTTTCTACAACTGTTCCAGATTCCTTAATCCCATTTCCGTGAGATTTTGCCATCTTGATTTTTTTTTTTTTTTAAATTATTATTACTTGACAGATGACATTTTGCCAGGTATTCCCCTTTCAGTGGAGGGAGTGAATGATCCCGAGCAGAACATGTCTGAACTTTTTCATGCATTCCTG